TTTTTTGTACTTTTTTTAGTAGAGACGGGGTTTCACCATGTTAGCCAGGATGGTCTCGATCTCCTGACCTCGTGATCTGCCCGTCTCAGCCTCCCAAAGTGCTGGGATTACAGGCTTGAGCCACTGCGCCCGGCCCCCCTGTTCTATTTCAAGTTATTTTAATGAGGGTTTATAAAGTCCTCACTATCAAAACAGTCACAAATAATTTCCAGATTAAAGTAATGCAATTCTGATCATTTCATTCTCCCATTGAAAATGTTTGACATTCAAAGCCCTCTTATCAATCAATCAAGCAATTCTACTTCCTAGTCCTTAGAGACACCCTGTACATTGTGGCCCTTTGCCTTTACTCAAGCAAATCCTATCCACCGACAGTACCCTCTCCCTCAGTATCAATACAAATTCACAAAAATATTATATCTTCCAATTAGCCTATGCCATGTGTCAACGAAGTAATAACTAACAATTTAAAACATTTTATAGAAGTCAACTAGTCTGCTATATCTTCACATGTATTAACTAATTTAATCCTCACAACCACCTTATGAGGTAGTTACAACTATTTTCTTCACTATGCAAGAGATGAAACTTAGGGTAAGGTAGGTTGAAGTGACTTTCTCAAGAATGCTTTATTAATGATACTTGTGAAAAATGGTGAGACAGACCTTTTCAAAGTCAGCTATGGAGATAGGTTTCAGGACCACGGCAGTAAGGTATTGCAGTGGGGGAGTGAGATTGGACTAAATTCTAACTCCAATAAGGACAAGTGGGAATTTATAACCAAGAAGCAGGGTGGGGAGCAATGGATGGAAAATTACTAAGAGTAAACACCAAGGATAAAGGATTTCTGGCTAAACTGACCTGATGGGATTATTGCTGAAGGCAGGCCAGGGTGATAAGATATTGAGGGTGGTCTGATACCAAGGGTAGGGGATATTCATTAAAGTGATGTGGCAGGATTCTCGCTCCAATTGGATTCTACAGATGGTCCCCAACTTACAATGATTTGATTTTATGATGGTGCAAAAGCCATACGTATTCAATGGAAACACTTCCAATTTTGAATTTTGATCTTCTCCTGGGCGAGTGATTCACAATACAATACCCGCTCCTGATGCTGGGCAGTGGCTGTGAGCCGCAGCTGTCAAGTCAACCATGCAATCACAAGAAGCATGTTTAAGGTAGGCTAGGCTTCAGCGTGTCTAAGTTAGGCTAAGCCGAGCTATGATGTTCAATAGGTTAGGTATATTAAGTGCACTTTCCACGTGGAATATTTTCAACTTATGATGGGTTTTTTGTATCGTAACTTCATCCTAAGTCGAGGAGAATCTGTACTAGAACAGAAAGGAAAGCCCAAGATCAGGCTTAGTCAAGCAGAGGACTCAGAGAAAAGCTTGATTATAGTTTTGGTCAAAGGAGAGAGTGTGTGTCAGCCCTATCCAAGGTTACCATCGTTGAGAGGGGATTGTATTCATACACGCTATAATTCTACTAGAGTCCAAGAACCCTGGGACAAGAACTGTGAGACAGTCATTCTTGTGACCCCATCACCATATCACTACCACCTAACAATTGATACTAGGCCTTGTGTATAGTGGTGATTTACTAAGTATTTGCTGAATTGAAGATGGCTTTATAGGATTTTCTCTTTAGTACATTGTCATGTCTTCTTTATGCCTTAATTTGAAATAGTCTTAAAGCAAAAGAAAAAGCATTTCAATTTTGAGGGGGTCACATATAGATCAATGATATTTTCTAAATGCTATTTGTTCTTTTTATTTGTCTTCTTTTAGTAGTACTCTGTTTTCTAGAAACTAGGTACTTGCTTCAGGAGACTCCTTTTCTTCTGTTAGTTGTAACTTGACAACTGAGAATAAAACTAAGAAAGGATTTTGCAGCCAATGCTGCAAATACAAATTTGTTAATTGTATATTAACCAAATATGACTGCAAAAGGTTACTAAATACTCATTGTAAAGCTGTATTTTAAATGTCAGAAATCCATGTCAGTAGCTGAAGGCATACAGGTTTATGTTACATTTTAAAGTAAGAAAGATACCGTGTTTTTTTGTGAGCATAGATGTGGTTTAGTCTCTTTTATCCCCCTTTTGTGTGTGTGTGTGTGTGTGTGTGTGTGTGTGTCCCTGAAATCAGAAATGGTGTGAACATGAGTATGCTGATGCATTTGAGAAACGAGGACTATAAATTAATCTGGCCACTTTATAAGATGTTTTATATTAGACGGTAAAATTATTTCAGTTGCAAACGTATTTACTGGTAACTCCCATATACTTTTAATTCCCCTTTGTCTTCCTTTTCTCCTAAGATCAGGCAATATAACCTTTTCACTTTTATTTTTCCCTAAACATTAAGATCACTAGGTAGAGCCTGAAGAAGGAAGACTGTCCTGAAGCAAGAGAAAGGAAATCCTAATACTCTTATGGGAAATTTTGGAATAGTATGTGGATAAGTACAGGACATTTCTGTGGTGGCCAAACAGATGACACCTGCTCAGTATCACCTAATCTCTGATTGGTAACCCTTAGTTTACAGGCAATGCCTGCAACTCAAAATGTTTGGAATTTGTCTACAAGTACATACCATAGCACAATTTAACAACTGCAGCACAATAAAAGAGATTGTATTTACTTTTAAGTCATTGAAATATTTCTTAACATTTCACTTCTGAGTAGTGTCTAATGAAATAGTAATATCTTTGTCAACAAGCTGTAAATTTCCCTATTACTCTTCTAGGAAGAATAGGTTCTATCTGGTTAGCTGGTTTGTTCTTGTTTGAAATATCTTCATTTAGTAGCAGGGAAATTGTGATTTAAAACTAATGGAGTTGGGAGGCCCAGGAAGGTGGATCACTTAAGGCCAAGAGTTCTAGACCAGCCTGGCCAACATGGTGAAACCACATCTCTAATAAAAATACAAAAATTAGCTAGGTGTGGTGGCATGAGTCTGTAGTCCCAGCTACTCAGGAGACTGAGGCTGGAGAATGGCTTGAACCCAGGAGGCGGAGATTGCAGTAAGTAGAGATTGTGCCACTGCACTCCAGCCTGGGTGACAGAGCAAGACTTTGTCTCAAAAAAGAAGAAGAAAAAAACCTAATGGAGGTGTGAGTGGGGGTAGAAGGGAATTGGCCATGTATTGATAATTTTTGAAATATATTTCTCTGTATTCTTTATATTTGAAATTTTCCATAAATAAAGTAAGTAAAAATAATAGAAGTGAAGAGAAACACCTGCTGCTTTTTAGTTGAAACTAGAAATGGAAATAGGTAAATGCACAAGTTCTACATTCCAGTGTGCCTCCTGTGGTAGCAATAGCAAAGAAACACTGTCGCACATCAGGCTAAGTAGGAGACCATCACAGCATCCAGTCTGCTTACTTTAATAAAAAAAAAATCATACATGAGCCTTAATGTTAGGGCATCAGCAACAATTGTATTCTGCAGACAGTTAATTTAGACACAGCCCAATTCCTACTACAACTGAAAAATAAGATCAATGTCAATTTTCATGAACTAAAATTTGTTCAAGGTTTAAAAAAAGTTACACCAGCAATGCCAAGTTTTTCATATATTTTTCCTAAGTGACATTCAGAAATTTTACTCATATCCCTGTAGAAATTATAGTCTGCCAACTCTTTTAAATGCCTATTTCTATTTTCCTTTACATAAAACTAAGGAGTTGTCAAATATCTTTCAGAAAAACAAAATGAAAAGAATTTATATGATATATATAACTGTCATGAGTCTAATACTTTATATAGACATTTAATTATCTAGATCACTTATTTTCCTCTCTTTTGTACCATTAATGTTTTTCTCCATTAAATTATTCTTTCCCCCATATGCAACATTTTAGGTTGTTCACAATTCGTTGTAATCAATTTACCATGCCCTTCAATCTTCTCTATTTTTCTCACGACACCAGATTAGCCACATATGTTGTGTGTGGATCGCCAAAATTATAAACCACAAATGACATAAGTTTGAGGAATTCAAATAACTGTGGCAAACTCTAACCTCAACTGCACCCAACAAAAATGAACAAGAAAAGACTTTCCCTATCTTAAGCCTCTAAAAACATTTTCATAGAAAGCAGAGTTAAAGCCATCCTGCCACTTCTTTTTAGGCTTTTCAAGACCTAAATTCTCTAGGTCTCATCATCTTTCTCTATTTATTTATTTATTTATTTATTTATTTATTTATTTATTTAGAAAAGCTATTTGCCATAGGGAAATTCGGATATATAATAAATACATGAGAGAATAAGGTATGCCTAAATGGGACAATCCAGAATCAATGTAAATTTTGGATCTCACCTGCAATTTTGAAAGTCCTATTAATTTAAAAACTAGTAAATACTTTAATATTCATGATAGCTTACTGTAAGATTCCCTAGAGGCAATGAAGATGGGAATCTCAAGAAAACTAAAACTACCATACATCCTGGCTTCAGAGGTGAAAACAGGGGGAGAGGATTGGCTAGTTATCAACAGAAGGGAAAGGAAAAAAAGCACAGAGAAAGAATAGACAAGGCAACAAAAGTGGCAAACTGTAAGAGCCAATACACATCCACTGCTTCAAGTTTTTCAGCCATGTTCCATTCTCAGAGATTTCTGGTAGTACTTCAAGAACACCGATCTCCAAACTCTTTCTGAAAAGGGCTAGGAATGCTTCCGCCTGAAGATCTTACCTATTCTTTCTGGGCCCCATGATCTCCCTACATGATTGATCAACCTACTATTTCAACTCGAAAAAGCCTTTTCACAAATGTCAACTTCAGTGAGGCCTCCATTTAAAAACGAACACCCTACCAAGTCCTTTCCTAATTTCTGATTACACCCTGTGAATTTACATCAACCTAACCCACACCCTCAGTTTATGCCTCTTTTGAATATTCTTGCCGGGCTTCTCCTTTAAATCTTGCCTGGAAGGGGCGGAGCTATGACCCAGGCTCATCGGGAGGAGCGTTCCGTAGGCTCCGCCCACCTACGTCTCAGAGGGCGCCCCAACGAACCCAGGATAAAGTCTCTTCCTAGTCCGCTCCGGAAATGCGACTGCGTACGCGCTGGACACGCAGTCGTGACGTCAGCGCGCCCGCGCCGGCTGGCCGGACGCCCTAGGCTTCCGCGAGATCTTTGGTGGGGGTTGCTGTACGCCACGGCACTGCTGCGTTTGGGTTGTCTCCTGCAGGCTCTCTGGACCTGGTCACGATTCCACAATGTACCACAACAGTAGCCAGAAGCGGCACTGGACTTTCTCCAGTGAGGAGCAGCTGGCAAGACTGCGGGCCGACGCCAACCGCAAATTCAGATGCAAAGCGGTGGCCAACGGGAAGGTGAGGTTTTCCCGACGGTTGCCCAGTTGCTTGGTCACTAAATTCTGAGCAGCTGCGGAAGCTCTTCTGGCTCCCAGGACAGTCTCACTCCCTCATTTCTCTGCCTCTGCGGCGCGGAGTGCGTTTATCTATTAAAATAAGCGAGCACTTCGCGAGGTTCCGTGGGTACAAAGACGAACAACGCCATCCCCGTAGTCGAATGGCAGACAAGTAACCAGTCTTTGTAACGTGGTGAAGAAGAGAGTAGGTAGTGTGCTAAGGTAGTGCGTGGCAAGAGCAACCGTTCACTTGTCAAGCGGTGATGTTGGGGAAGGTTTTTCCCAGTAGCCAATGCGGAGAATATGGGGAAAGGACGTTCCAGGCAGTCAGAACTACCGTGCAGAGTGGGAGGGAGGTCAGAAGTTACAGGGCTGGTGTGTGGACGTGTTTGTGGTCGTATGTGGCCGAATGTGAGTACCTGTGCAGGAATGGCTGGGGAGGGTAGGAAGGGAACTTGTTTGTAAGTGGAAGTGAGGCGTTTGAAATTTCCATTGAAAGGATGAGGAACCTTTGAAATATTTAAAATGGGAAGCTAACCTTATCAGATTTCCGTTCTGGAAACAGCGCTCTAGCAACCTCGTGGTGAATGGGTTGGATGAGGGCGGGAGACCGGAGACGGAATACAAACCAAGTGACTGAAGATGGTTTGGACTGTGGCCCGCTAGCCAAGTCCCTTCTGTTACAGCTCTAGGACTGGTTTAATCTTTCTTACAAGCTCCACTCCAGCAAGTGTTCAGTGCCTCCAAATTACTGACACTGAATTACTTTAATTTCTACCTTTAATTCACATCACTGATTTTAGCATCTGAATTAGTTTCCTAAGGGCTGCCTTAAAAAAATCACCACAGACTGGGTAGCTTAAAATAACAGAAATTTATTGAAACATTTGCTGTTTTTTAACAACTTGTGTCGTAATGACTGACCGAGAAACGAATGTTGGAAGCTTTCCAATCATATTTGTAAAAAGCCTATCTACTTTTAAATTTGTAAATAATGATATCACAGCTGTGAGCATATGCACATAGCCTATCGTGATTGTTTATATAATGAAGCAAAGGTCTAGCTGACATTCCGAAAAGTTGTGAAATGATGGTACAGTTTTAGTTTATTTTCCTACAGCTATTTTGTGTAATGATTAGCGAATCTATAAAGAAAACGAGGCGTGATATATTCCCCTTCGTTGGAGATATAAACTAAATTTAATCTGGATAGAGAAAAATGTTTTACAGTTGTTTAATTCATTGAATTCATTGAACTTGTGTTGTAATTGTTGATCTAAAGGTTCTTCCGAATGATCCAGTCTTTCTTGAGCCTCATGAAGAAATGACACTCTGCAAATACTATGAGAAACGGTTATTGGAATTCTGTTCGGTGTTTAAGCCAGCAATGCCAAGGTCTGTTGTGGTAAGTTACAGTAGTGATGAAATATAATGTCCTTTAGTTGACTTGTGAAATTTGACCTCTTCTAAATTCCCTGTCCACTCTAGTCTTAAAAATTCACGTTAGTTACAATTAATTAGTTTTTGGCACATTATATCTTTTTCAATTCAGGCCTTAACTCATGAATTGCTGTATCATATCTTCAGAAGTATTTCAAGTCTCATTTTGTGGTCAGAAAAAAATTTGAGGTCAGGTAATGTTATAAAGAAAGAAACAAAATAAATTACTTTCCTCTAAGTTCTCAACTAGTGAGCCATAGAACTGGGACTAGAACATAGACTACTTGCTTTTCCAACTCTGTGACACCCAATAAATGTTTGAAGTAATGCATTCTTTCATAATTGGTAATCATATGCCCCAGCTGAAACTGATACCATAAGATTTTTTTAAGCCTTAATTAGTAGAAGCTGGAGTTTTATCTTTGGTTAAAAAAGATTGTCTTATTGTTTCAGATGTATGGTTCTGAGGACCTGTTTGTTTTTTGCTGGGGTGGGCAACCGTGAGGAGAAACAGGTAGCTGAGATTAAAAAGCAGAAAGATGAAAAAGCTAGAGTGGGAGGGTGTTTAAAATGTCTTTACGTTATTCTCTCACAGGTTTGTTGTAAAGAACAAATATAGAAGTGTATCTTAAGTGAAAGTCTGTTAAATTTTAAAGTTATACAGTGTGACTAGCTTACGACCGAGTAGAGAATAATCTTCTAGGAAATTATCTCCATTTTTATAGTTGAAAAAAATTTGAAGTATGTTGAAAATATTAAGTCCGTAGAATTTATAATTTTTTTTTCATCTGCGATATCAAAGATTCAGAGAGAGTTTTAGGTATACTTGTTTAGTTTATATCTTCAGATTTGGTTTATTCTTACAAAATAACTAAAATGAGGCAGTAAATTAAAGTGATCTTATCAAATGAAGAAAAAATCCTTTAATGAACTTCTTTATGGAATTTATTTTTAAATAACATGTTTATCATTGGTGAATAATTTTTTGTTTTACATAATGACAAAACTAAACTTTTAAAATACTTAAAAGGAAATGTTCTTTTTTCTATCATAAAATAGATTAGTGGTTATTTCATTGGTTCCAGCCAAATGATATAATGGTTAAAAGTACAGGCAGGTCTTACTTGAATTCATTCCTGTTCCTTATTAGCTGTGTGACCTAGATAAGTCAGTTCACCTCATTGATACTCAGTTTCCTTTTCTGTAGAGATAGCAATATTTCACCAAGCTGTTGTAAGGGTTAAAACATGATGATAGTTTTGTGCTTATCACAGAATCTGGCACTTGGTATGCATTCAGTAAATGGTAGTGCTGCTTCTGCCATTCAGTTGGCAGCAGTGATCACAAATCATGGGAATGGATACATAGCAATATCACAAATAATTAGTGGCTTTAGAGAGAAGGCTTATTGCCTTGCTCATGTTTTTTTGGTCATTATTTTTATAAGATTGGTTAATCTGTGAACATTTGTATTTTTCTTCCTGAATTTATCTAATTCAGGACATTTTTGATACTCTGACTTCTAAAACATACACACTCACGTATTTTTAAATCCAGTGACCATAGGAAGGATTAGCCAGGGTACGCTAGGGATAGACAAACAAAGGATGGGAAAGGATCTTTTGGCTATGGCATTTCTGTAGTAATTCATCACAATTTATTTTGATTAAAGAATTAATGAGTATTAGTAATTTTCTGGGTAATCTCTACAAAGAAACCCTTCCATAAATAAGTTCTGTTTCATACAATTTAACATTTAACATTTGTGAATAGATCCTGATGATATATTTTTTTTAACCCTTAGGGTACAGCTTGTATGTATTTCAAACGTTTTTATCTTAATAACTCAGTAATGGAATATCACCCCAGGATAATAATGTGAGTATGTCTGTCTAATATATTGTTTTCATTTAAGAAGACCTTTATACTCTTTTGAGTTTTTTTGGGAGGAGAGAGTTGAGGGTAATTTAGACTTCTGTTTTTTGTTTTTGTTTTTTTTTAATTCAGAACTTAAGATCTCTATTTACCTGTACTTCGGTAATTCCGATGGCATCTGAACTTCAACTTGTGCAGATTCAAATTTTGTTTTTCTCAAATTAGCTACTTCTCTAACATCTCTATTTGACACCTTTGTTCTTCCAGTTGTTCAGACTGAGAATCATTTGTAGTGGCCCCTCCCACATCCAGTCAGTTTACGGATCCTATAGCTTCCTACTCATTTCATTTGAACAAAGGTCTGTTGTTGCTGCTCTCTGCTGAGCACTGTGTCTATCATTAAAGATGAAATTAGTATGAGACTCATCAAAGAGCTTGCTCTCAATGACATTGTACCTGTTTTCTCTTTTTGATTCCCATTTCCACCAGTCAAGATTAGGCCCTTGATCTCACTGCCAACCTTGATTTTTGCAGTAGCTTTCTTAGTGTTTTCTCATACTGAACAGCATGAATTGGCCAGGTGAATTTCACACATTTGTCCCTTAAATAATAGTCTCTTATTCAGATGCCCTTAGAGACTTCCACCAATGGCCTTCCACAATGTTCCTTTAACCTACTTTTCTTCCCATACTTATATGGTACATATGTGCTTTATTTTTAACTATTCCATCTACGTTATACGAAGTGCTCTTATTCCTCAGTTAATTTGTTTTTCCAGATATTTAGGTTGTACTACATAACACTGTCATTGAGTCAGTGATGTTTGAATGCCATGGCAATATTGGTTTGACCTATTTATAGTTTGTCTTATGTCTCTTAATGAAGTGTGAACAGGAGCTATCTTTTAAAAAAAAATTCTTGCAATGTCTAGCAGTCACTTTTGAATATTAGGCAATTATAGAATATACTTTTAGAAATAAAATATTTAGATACTTCTCAAAGTATATGCATGTTCTTCTGCCCCACCCCAACCCCGCCCCCTGCCTCCTTATTTTTTCCTCTAGGCTCACTTGTGCATTTTTGGCCTGCAAAGTAGATGAATTCAATGTATCTAGTCCTCAGTTTGTTGGAAACCTTCGGGAGAGTCCTCTTGGACAGGAGAAGGCACTTGAACAGATACTGGAATATGAACTACTTCTTATACAGCAACTTAATTTCCACCTTATTGTCCACAATCCTTACAGACCATTTGAGGGCTTCCTCATCGACTTAAAGGTAAACTTGATATAAAATAAACTAATACTACATTCTTCTTTCCTATTCTTTAACAAAAAGAATCCAAAATTTTAAAACTCATAGTCATCGTCATTGTTAGAGCATGGATACGACCTGTGGGTCTGGCCTGGTCATCTAGGGCAGTTGTGTTTAAACTTCAGTGGGCATCATCAGTCATCTGGAGAAACTGTTAACTCAGATGGTTGGGTGGGACTTACGGAGTTTCTCATTTAAACGATCTTCATTACGTCCAGGGATGTAATGAAGACCATTGAGAAATAGAACGGTGCTTATTATGGAGGCTTAAGATACCTCTTCTAACTTTGAATTATATTGTCATGGATCTGGGCCTGATTTAAACCATAAAAAATTCTTAAACTAGAAGATTGCTAAGTGACTTATATTTTTAGAGGTTTGTGAACTTGAGTCCCTATGTAGGCATCAATAATATAAGTAAACAAACATTGACAGAAGCAACTTTTAAGTTGTTTTGTTTGGCTCTAAAAGAGAAGTTGGATAGTCAAAGTCGAATCAAACAGAAATCAGGAACTGGTTCATTCATACTAGATCAGTCGCTCAATTTGGGTATCTTCTGTGTGCCAAACTTTGTGCTTGAGCATGTAACCAGAAACAGGACAGGAACAGTCTCAACCTTTGTGAACCTTGCAATCTAAAGGGTTTAGACAATCATATATTCATTGTGCTCAATAATACAGAGGGGAAAATATATTTTAGAGGGAGATAACAGATTAAGAGCTAAGGAAAACGTTCTGAGAACGTATCATTTAAAGTACAATTCAGAGTAGGAATAGGAGAGAGAAGAACATTCCAATCAGAGACTTCCCTGGTAAAAAGTTCAAATTCAAGAAACCATTCTGTGCTAAACAACCTGAACAGAGCCTAGCAATGCAGGGGGTGGGGAAGAGATCACAGACAGCTGCTGCCAGAGTGGAAGGCAGAGTCTAGACTGTGGAGACAATGTTACAGATTTTGAATAGAGCAAAGAGAAACCAGTGAAAGGTTTAAATTTAGAGAGTGGCATGATTAGGTTTGCAATTTTAAAAGATCATGTTGGCAACCTTATGGATCAGGTATTTACTGTGCATCTGTATATGTCAGGCATAACGTGGAGAATGGATTAGAATACATTAAGTGAATAACGGGGTACTGTTAAAGGAGTCCAAGCTAAGGATGGTGGTGGTCTTCACTCGTATGAAGGTTGTGGATACAGAAAGAGCTTCCTGGGCTTCAGAGATACAGGATAAGTATCCCTTATCTAAAAAATTTCGGGCCAAAAGTATTTGAGATTTCACTTTTTTTTTTTTTTTTTTTTTCGATTTTGCAATATTTGCATTGTGCTTACTGGTTGAGAATCCCAAATCCAAAATCTGAAATGCTCCAGTGAGAATTTCCTGAGTGTCATGTCAGTGCTCAGAAAGTTTCCGATTTTGGAGTATTTCGGATTTTGAATTTTTTGGATTTATGCTCAGTCTGTAGTTAGGTAGAATCAATAGAACATGAGGATTGATTGTATATAGAGATGAGGACAGAGGAAGAACCCCCAAGTTTCTGACTGGGTGATACTTTTTTTTGTTGTTTTTTGTTTTATGGAAGAGACCGATGCACATTTAAATACTGATGCAAAGAGCTAGTAGTGAGAGAAAGATGAAATACAAAATAGTCTGTTTGGAGTAAGGTGGAAGGGGTTGGCATGGGATTTGGAAGCAAGGTAGAAGAACTGGCCTTAGAGGGAATAATAGCTCTTTCTCTTAACAGTGGAAAAGGGGAAATTATGGGCTTAGGATACTGTTATGCCTCAGGATTTGGTGTTGGCAGGAAATAGCGCCTTTCTTTGGTAAGAAATAGTTTTCTGAGAGTGATGGAGTTTCTGAGAATTATCAAAGACGTTAAGACAGATGGAAAATATTTATGCAGTCACTGAAAAATGGGAGAGTAAACTGTGGAAATACTATGGTTGCTTGGCAGTGTTTAAGAGCCTTGCTGAGGTCAATGAATATGAGTTTACAGTAACATTTCCAGACTTTCTGCTCGTATTGTTTTCTCTGGCAGTACTCAGAAATCTTGGTATAGTTGCAAAGCGAAGTTTGTTGGATTCAACCACTGTTCAACTTCTGGTTTTTCCAGAAATTTGTTGGCAGTGTATTGGGGCAGGGAATTCAGGAGAGAAATGAGGAGCAGAGGACACTGGTGAGTGGGAGCAAGTAGAGAGATAAGTGAGCAAAAGTTCAGAGGAGGAAGAACAGCTGTGAAATAAATGAGTAAATACATTAGAAAGGGAGGCATTGTAGTCAGAGTAGTGGGTCTTAATGTCTCATATCACAGGCGAGGCATTTTTGTACAATTGACTCTTAAATATTTTATTGCAGAGTGTAGAAAAGCTTTCCTACTGCTTTAGGTGTCGAACATGGATATCTGAGGACTTGAGATTTATGGTTTATTTTATAGGGTATGAAGAACTGTCAGGAAATAGGAGGTCTTCCACATCTCTTGGGCATATTCTAAAACTTTTTCTGTGGGAATTTGAAGTCTAGTGTGTTCTAATCAAATTGAGATTCATTTTTATTTACTTCTTCCTGAAAGTAAATTTTAAGTAGAAGGAACTTCATATAAAAATAAGGTGTATTCCTAAATGTGGCCTTATATTTAAATCACCTGGGTTGCCTGAGAGACGCATTTACCTGGGAATATGTATTTCTTGGCCCTACTTTAGACTCAGTGGAATCTCTAAGAGCTTCCCTTCCTTCCCCTTCCTACTCAGGTGGAAAAGGACCAAGAGAAGGGATTAATGTAAATTGAGGACACTGTCAAGTACTGTGCTAGGAACTTTAGATATGTTATAGCACATATTTCTTAATATGAGTTGTGTAATTTTAAACTGTTGTTATACTCCATTTAAACCCTCAGAAATGGTAACATTTGCAAACTTTCTTTCTAGACCCGCTACCCCATATTGGAGAATCCAGAGATTTTGAGGAAAACAGCTGATGACTTTCTTAATAGAATTGCATTGACGGATGCCTACCTTTTATACACACCTTCCCAAATTGCCCTGACTGCCATTTTATCTAGTGCCTCCAGGGCTGGAATTACTATGGAAAGGTATTAATTAGTGTTTTAACTTAGGTCAAATTCAGTCACTGAGTTTATTTATTCATAGAATCATTTCTGACTATAATCTTTAATATTCCTTGTGGCTGGGATGGTTGGTGAAAAGAAGAAATGAAATTGCCTTTTAAGGAAATCTTTAAACATCATGAAAAATACTGTTGAACTAAGAGGAGGATACATTTAGGATTAAAGTAGGAGTAAACCAGGTGATCCTTGAAAGACTGGTATAGCTATCAGTATATGACAAATTTAGAAGGTCCTGTGAACTGGTGAGCAACTTGAGTGCAGCAAATACGTCTGCCTTGTTTTATCTTTATTCCCCTTCTGTAGAGCATGTATGACACGTGGAAGTTAAATATTGTTAACTAACTGAAGCACAAGCTAGCAGCCAATTAGGCATTTTTAGTTTCTGTATTAAGTTTCTCAATTTATGACCTTTGAGATTCTGCTTGATTTCATTCTTAGAAATAGCTGAGGACGAAAGCTGATAAAACTTCCTAAAGTTAATTAAAACTGTTTTACATGATTATAATCCCTTATCCATAATTTCAGAATCCACTGATAAGGTGGCAGCAGATAGAGCAGATTGTATTTAGTTTTTATTTCACTTAATAGGAATATTTGTGTTCCCTTGCAGAAATCTTAATATTCCTGATTACAGACATCACTTGAGTATTTCACATTTCATAATATATGCACCAGATAACTTTTCTAAGACATGAATACTTAAGAATTTCACAACACATCTGCATCTAGGATAAGGGATTGTAGGTTTATATTTTATGATATGTCTCTTCTCTGCAAACACAGCTCACCAACTGTATATAAATATATATATTTAATCTCAAAGTGATTTAAATCTCCACTTATTTACTAAGCAAACATCTATTAAATACCTTCTGTGTACTACTATGCACTGTACTACACTTTAGGAATATGAAAATGAATAAGATAAATCTCTGTTAGGAAAGACAGTCGTGTAAATTATTGATGTATATGGAGTTAAGATGTGGACTTCCATTAATTTTGGGGGGGTTGGTTGGTTATTATTATTATTTTTTTTGAGACAGCCTCTCACTCTCACCCAGGCTGGAATGCAGTGGCACAGTCATAGTTCACTGCAGCCTCAACCTCCCAGCCTCAAGCGATCCTCCTACTTCAGCTCGCTGAGTACCTGGGACCACAGGTACACACCACCACACCCTGGCTAATCTTTTTGTTTTTTTGTAGAGTTGGGGTTTCCCTATGTTGCCTAGGTTCATCTCAGTCACTCCTAGACTCAAGTAATCTCCTGCCTAGGCCTCCCAAAGTACTGGGGTGACAGGTGCACACCACCATACCTGGCCTGCGGACTTCATTCTGTAAGGGAACAAAAGTCCTCTTTTCCACAGTTCAAATAACCAAAAGTCTGATTAATCTTGAAGCATTGTGTATAGTGCATATATAAATTCTTCAGTGATGAGATTTTAGTTACATAGAGTGGGATGAAGCATCCTAAGGTCCAGATGAGTTTATTTCATCTTAGAAGTTTAGTACAGTACAATTCCAGGTAAGCAAAATTGAAATTGTGATACTTTTGGCTCCGTGCAAATTTAATAGGCCTTTGTAACATTCCCAGAGACTAGACATTGGGCCTTCCCCCAACCCCCGCCCTTTTAGGGAAATGCTTTCCAAACATTTTTAACTTACAGCTGATTTACAGGCAAATTTTTGGGATATGTGGAAATGGGGTTTACATTTATTGCTGATTTCAAAAGGGAAAGCCCCTGTGCTGTTGTCAGAGTTTGGATAATACCTCAGATTATTAATCATGGGATTATTACCATTATTTCTGGGTTTTCTTCTCTGTCTTGTAGATTTAGAGCTTTATTTCTCATCTGCTACTTTAAGTATTCCTATTTGCCTGTGGATTTTATTAAAACACCACAATATTAAAATTCAAATTCAAAATTGAGGTTAAGAGTTGCTAACTTCACAGAGCTAATGAGTAGTCAGCCAACTCTTAGCACCAAACCTATGGTCCTTATGCTTAAGAAATCAAAAGGAAATGAAGAGTAAAAATAAAGGAAGATGACAAAAATGGGAGTAATTTTAGGTAGGAAAGGGAAAGGGAAAAAACTAGTTATTTTGAATTACTAGTAAGTGGAAATGGATTAGTTGTCAGGAGAGTTCTTGATTTTCAGATCCAAAATTTATTCCCACAATAGATAACGATGATGTGATGTCAAACACTTATCAAAACTTTATAATAAAATTTAAATCTGGATAAAGACACAAGAGTTCTTAAAGCATTGCTTTCTATTTTTGTAACTATTACACCCAAGAGAAAAATAATTTTTTTGCATTTGTGTTTGAAAAACTATTTAATACTTTGAGAGTTCATTTGAGCTTTTATCAATTATAGGTCAAGTTCAGGTATGTAAAACTTCAGAGTAAAAATTTAAATATAGAAATTATATTTTCATACCGTCAGCTCTGAGAAAAACAAGTAATTTGGATTTTATATCACATTGATAAAGAAGTTTAACACCTTTAATTTGGACTTGATGCAAATAAGATGTAATAGATTTATAAAGCGTTAGGTGGTTGGTTTGAATGTCTGTTACTTCCCAAAAGTGCAACTATAGGTAAAATGGCTTTCATATTAAGGGAACAGAGAATCCTTACTAGTGCCAGATTCCAGTTTTGCTGCTTCCTAGCTTTATTACTTTGGATAAGTTACAAGATCATGACTTGTTCATCCCTGTAACTCAGATTCCTCATCTGTAAAGTAAGGTTAGACTCATTGGGCTTCTATATTAAAAGATATAAATGTTACAGGTACTGACTGTTACTGTTACTTACATACTCTTTTGTCTCTGAAAGGTTGTACCTGAATGTCACTAAACTTAAAACAGTAAACATCTTTTAATGTAATTGCTAATAAATCCTTAAAACATAAGAGTTACAGATTATACATTCATAAATTTAAAAATTTTTTAATTGCCTTTGATGAGGATGGAGGAAAATAATTTATGGTGTCATGTTTTCTCAATGTGCTGTATCTTTTCAATAGATTACATTTTTTTTCTTTTCTTTACCAGTTATTTATCAGAGAGTCTGATGCTGAGAGAGAACAGAACTTGCCTGTCACAGTTACTAGATATAATGAAAAGTAAGTAAATGAGAACACTTTACAAAATGTTCTTCCAGTACAAAGCTCCTTTCTAAATAAATATCTTGGTGTTTAACTAGAAATATAACATAGATTTTTGTTTAGATTTCTTTTCACTGAATTACTGTATTATGGAAGCATGAAAGACACATTGGTCTAGAACAAATAGAAGGTACATAGAAGGAAGTAGTGTTCATATATATAGAACTTACGCAAAGAGTGAAAATAGAGTCCGATTTAGAAAGGATTTAGAGATTGACAACAGGATCCTTTTAAAGAATAAAGAAACATACTAGGCACTGAAAAAGATGTAATGGGAAATAAGGATAATGTTTAAATTTGTAACTTCTATTTTGTAGATAAATTATTTTTTTAAGAGAAAGGTAGAAGATTTGCAACACTCAGAGAAGGTACCGTTAAGACAGCAGAGGAAGATTTAAAGATGCTTGCCTTGAAAATTGGAGTGATGTGGCTGCAAGCCAAAGGAAGCTGGCAGCCACTGGAAGCTGGAATAGGCAAGGAATGGATTTATCCCTGGAGCCTCCAGAGAGAGTGTGGCCCTTCCAGCACCTTAATTTTGGCACAGTGAAACAGATTTCAGACTTCTGGGCTGCAGAACTATGAGATAATAGATTTCCGTTGTTTTAAGCCGTCACGTTTGTGATAATTTTAATAGCAAGGTTGGGAAAATAATACAGCCCTGAATAACCAAGATTTATCCAGCCCAAAATGTTATGAGTGCTGGTGTTGAGAAACCCTGTCCTGAGTTGAGTAGAATCTCTACTTATTGGCTGAATTAACCAGCATTCTCCATTCCTCATTCTTGCCCATGGCACACTTGGTCATGGCTGCTAAGCTACTCTTTGGGGTTAAAAGTCAATCATGTGGTCGGGCGCGGTGGCTCATGCCTGTAATCTCAGCACTTTGGGAGGCCGAGGCGGGCAGATCACGAGGTCAGGAGATCGAGACCATCCTTGTGAACACTGTGAAACCGCATCTCCACTAAAAATGCAAAAAATTAGCCGGGCATGGTGGTGGGCACCTGTAGTCCCAGCTACTCGGGAGGCTGAGGCAGGAGAATGGCATGAACCTGGGGAGCAGAGCTTGCAGTGAGCAGAGATTGCGCCACTGCACTCCAGCCTAGGTGACAGAGTCAGACTCCATCTCAAAAAAAAAAAAGTCAATCATGTTTGTTTCCAAACCTTCTTGTGTAAATTGTTCTTGTTAATTAAATTTGTAATGTAATTAAATGTTAAACCAGTAAAATACAAGATTGAAATCTTGATCTTCGATGACAGTAAATGGGTATACGTTTTACATATTTTGTGTTTTAAAATTTAAGATGCTTCAGGGCATCTCTGTATCATTTCTTGATTCTCTGCTCGAAGTGATCCTGAGGGCTTCCTTCTTGGAGAATGATGGCTGTGGTTTATGAATTATAAACTGTAGGTCTTTAGTTATACCACTAGGGGGTTCACTTTAAAAGCTAATTGTGATTTGACTCTAGCTGTTAGGATCATAGAACTTAGTAGGTAAAGGGGGTCTTATTCCAATGTACTCATTTCATAGCTTAGTTTTATTACTGATTTCTTCTCAATACCTTTGTTTTGTTCCACTTATTTTAAAATGAAATAAAAACAGCTCTTTATGAAACACTCAGAAGTTTAATGCTACTAAGATATTGGTAATTTTTGGAACACAGATACTGTCCTAAGGGTGTTGAGTTACAAGATTAATTCAATTAAAAATACTGTTTTGTTTGCATTATGAAATAGGTCACTAGTGTAGTCATTTGGATCACATGGCAGGCTAACAGTAATAATAATCTCATTGGATCTCTCATTATTCCCCTAATGTTGAAATTTGTATTCTTTGGTTTATTATAGTTGAATAACAAGATCAGCTAGAGGATGCTTTTGCAATTATAAAGTTACTGATATAGTAGTTTGCTTTTAACCTGAAGTGGACATTTTTGTATAGGGTCTGCTTGTTGTTAAAGCAAAGGATTATTAACAAATTTTTACTAAGCGTCCTTCCTTTATTGCATGTTGTGTAATAGTTTACTTTGTAAAGAGGAAGTATACTGTTGGCCCACTATTTATGGAATAGAATATTACAAAGATGGTTGGTGATAGAGAACAAAACATGTTCACTAAATCATTTAGGGATTTTTTTTTTTAAGTCTTAAAACTGAACAAGAAGTGACCCCAGTAGGATTTGCAAAAAATACTAATTATACAGTGTGCTTTATGTTATATATGATATGGGCTAAACAGCAGAGAGCCATAATTACTTCAACTAAACATGCAGTGCTTATTGGATTTTAATGTAGAATGAAATGCAGAATGATGCAAATCCTGAGAAGAATAACCATGTCATTTGCAGGGTGTTTTGTTGTTTCCTATAACAAAATGGAAAAGTAACCAGCTCCGCTACTATAAGAAGGTTTGCTTATTCAGTTTAAATTCTTTTTTGTATCCACATAGGCATGAGAAACTTAGTAAAAAAGTATGAACCACCCAGATCTGAAGAAGTTGCTGTTCTGAAACAGAAGTTGGAGCGATGTCATTCTGCTGAGCTTGCACTTAATGTAATCACGTAAGTTGATGTGACAGTGTTAATCAATAGACATAATTGTTACCCAGTCCACCTGGTTCGTAAATCATTTTATTGGTGTTTGCTTATTTGAGGAAAGCTGACTGATCCATTAAATCAGATTTTCTTTATTGAATGGACATTTCTAATGAGATTAAGTTAATAGTTTGGCATTCACTGTGCAGTTCTGATCCTGCTGTGACTCATATGTTCTTTGGCTTGCAGGCCATTCTGTTCTGTTACTTCTCATGGGATTTCAGGGGTCAGGGTCTTCCTAAGGAATCCTTTTACCTTTTCCTGTCCTTTTAATCTTTGGTCTCTCTGAAGCTGTGATACCTGGTCTGAGGAATAAATATGCTGTTCCAGACTTCTGTTAGCTAGAGTAGGGAAAGTTGGCATACTTGCTTTCAGTGACAAACTGATAAAGCCAGTAGGAAAATAGGCTGTTGAATTTCTTCTTGTAGCTAGACATAACACCTTTAATGTCTCTTAATTGATATGTAAGCTGAATGTGGAAATCACCATAAAATTGGCAATGCATGCTTTGTAAATTGAAAGATCCACTTAAACTTTCTCTTTTAGGTGTTTAAGCAGTTGGGAATTTGGACAGGTACTAGGATTAATTAAACTGTCATTTTCTATTTCCTGTGGGATGCATTTTGTTACTTAAAATTATACTGTATTTGTTAAAATTTAATAAGAGTTATCTGTGGCATTTTATATTTAAGATGTATTGAGGTATTATTTCTGTAATTGGTGAATATGTGCTGCTGGATACCTATGAAAAGCCAGAACAGCATTCCAAGGCCCTTATGTCAAATACACATGATTCAAATTTCTTACCTATACAGTTGTAGTCAGGGAATATCTAGGGAGTTAGGAAGTGTGCAGAATATGAGGTTGTTTTATTATAGTTAGAGCTATAATGACAAAGCATGATTTAGCACAGAATTTGAAATTGGTGGATTCCATTCACTCCTGGGTTTCAGTGGTAACAGGAATTTTTCAGAGTGGTTACAGAGAAGTAATGTTGGCTTTAATGAATAAAAGTATTGCAGCACTGATTATGTTCTTTTTGCATTGATTTTGCAATGGGATTAGACCAGGAGTTGGCAAACTGTGACCTATCAGGCCTATCCAGCCCATTAGCTGTTTTTAGAACAGTTTCTTGGAATGTAACACACCCATATGTTTATGTATCACCTATGGCGATTTTCATGATACAGCAGAAAAGTTAGGTAGTTGAAACAGAAACTGATTATAGGGCCTTGCAAGGCCTAAAATATTTACTGTCTCTTTAAAGTTTATCCACCCCTGGATTAGACCACTGAACTATTAATCCTACCTTTTCTAGCTAAGTAACTGAATGGACCATAATCCAGAATTCCTAACTACCATAGCTTACATTTCATTCCAGATTGCCATCTGCCTTGTACTGGGTGGGCCAAGCAAATTCTGAATACCTATGAGTACTTGAGGGGTGCTTCTCAAACTGTGAAGGACTTTTTTAAAAAAATTCACTAGATGTATACTTGTGTAAAATTCAATAAAAAATGAATTACTAGAAAAGTGAAGACAAAAACATTAGCTCAAGTTTTATTAGATTCAACAGTCATAAAATTATATCAGATTACTATTAAAAATTTCTGGGGCTGGGCACAGTGGCTTATGCCTGTAATCCCAGCACTTTGGGAGGCTGAGGCAGGCAGATCACCTGAGGTCGGGAGTTCGAGACCAGCCTGGCCAACATGGTGAAACACCATCTCTACTAAAAATACAATAATTAGCCGGACGTGGTGGCGGGTGCCTGTAATTCCAGCTACTTGGAAGACTGAGGCAGGGAGAACTGCTTGAACCCCAGAGGGGTCACAGTGAGCCAAGATCACGCCATTGCACCCCAGCCTGGACAACAGAGCGAGACTGTCTCAAAAAAACAAAAAAAAAAGAAAAGAAAAAAAACCTTCCAAACACAATTCCTATAACTCACTGCAAACTGTGCAAACTGTTCATGGAACAGCCCTGGTACTCACTACCATGAGTAGTGCTACTTTAGGACTAAATATTTGTTTTCCTTGATCTTGAAAATTATTTTACCTTTATTTTTCATGACACAAAAACTGTTTGGTCCTTGTCAGTCAATACAAGTGAAACCAAAGTTCCCTTTGATCAAAACCCAAATCTGTCATGACCTCAAAAGTTACTTAGCAGTTGTTTACCTTTGCCAGCCTTTTCTCTGCACGTATATCCATATGTATTTATGAAATAAGTCACATTTTCTTCTTCTTTGCATCTTTCATACATATTGTACAACGTGTAATTATCAATGCTTAGCTTTTGCTAGTCTGAGTGAAAAAGTATCAATTGGTATTTTAATTTGCATTTTCTTGATTATGGGGCATTGAAGTTTCCACGTTTAACAGTCACTTATATTTCTACTGTGTTGCTTATTTATTCCCCTTGTCCAATTTTCTGGCTTTTTTTTTTTTTTTTTTTTTGAGATGGAGTCTTGCTGTGTCACCCAGGCCTGAGTGCAGTGGCGCGATCTCACTGCAACCTCTGCCTCCCGGGTTCAAGCAATTCTCCTGCCTCAGCCTTCCAAGTAGCTGGGACGACAGGTGCATGCCACCACGCCCGGCTAGTTTTATTTTTTTGTATTTTTAGTAGAGATGGGATTTCACCATGTTAGCCAAGGATGGTCTCAAGCTCCTGACCCCCGTCCACCTCAGCCTCCCGAAGTGCTGGGATTACAGGCGTGAGCCACCGCGCCTGGCCACATTTTTGTGGTTTGTAGTGCTTTATAGATTCTATGTACAGTCATTCTTCAGTATCCATGGGGGATTGGTTTCAGGACTTTCTGCTGATAACCAAAATCCACAGATGCCCTAATACAAAATGGTGTATTTGCATATAACCTGTACACATCCTCCCATATACTTTAAATCATCTCTAGATTACTTACAATACCTAAATACAATGTGAATGCTATGTAAATAGTTATTATACTGTATTCTTGAGGGAATAATGACAGTCTGACAGAAGGGGGAATAATGACAGTCTGACAGAAGGCTGATTGTACTTATTTATATATGATATATTCTATTGTTTTTCACAACTTTTTTCCAAATACTAATTTTTGCCCCAGCTTCCCATACCCCCACTTTTTTGAGAAAGTCTGTGTCATCCAGGTGGAGTGCAGTGGCTCGATCTTTGCTCACTGTACCCTCTGCTGTCTGGGCTCAAGTGATCTTCCCACCTCAGCCTCTTGAGTAGCTGGGACTACAGGTGCTCAACCACGTTGGTTACTTTTTTTTTTTTTTTTTTTTTTTTGTAGAGACAAGGTTTTGCCACATTGCTCAGGCTGGTCTCAAATTCCTGGGCTCTGGCGATCTGCCGCCTCGGCCTCCTAAAGTGCTGGGATTGCAATTGTGAGCCCCTGTGCCGGGCAGGTCCCAGCTCATTTTTTATTTCAAGTTTTTCCTAGTTACTTGAAACAGTTTTTATCACACATTAAATTTGTACTTCTGCATAGTCATTACTTTGCTTAATCTAGTCTGATCATTGATTTATGATCTCACTTTTAATTACCATAGCTTTTGTAATATCTCACTTTTAATTACCATAGCTTCTGTAGTGTGCTTTGAAGATAACTGGGACAAGGTCTTCCAACATTGTTCTTTCTTACATTCTCTATTTTTTCACACTTCTTCCTAGGTCAGTGTTAGACTTGACAAATTCCATGAAAAATTTTATTGGGGTTTTAATTAGAATTGCATTTAATTTAAAGATTGATTTTAAAAGTATCATTTTCCCTACCCATAACTCTTCATCTTTTTCCATTTATCCAGGCCTATGTTTTTCAGTAGATACATGATATTGCATATAGCCTTGCTAGTTTATTTTACATTTTATAGTTTCTGTGGCTGGTATTAGATTGCTTATTGATAGTTGCATAATTATAGGAAGAAGAGGAAAGGCTATGAAGATGATGATTACGTCTCAAAGAAATCCAAACATGAGGAGGTATGTTTTACTCCAAAGATGAACTCTAAGTCATTTTTGTTACACATTCTGGTGTGATTATACTATTAAGATTTGTTCTCCAAGAGTATAAGCATTATAGAGTTGTGGGTTTTTTCATTTTTTGCATACTTCCTTACGTACAGTACTGTTATCCATTATTAAAGGGATTTTTCTCTCTCCTGTCTTTACTTGATGCAAGACTCCTTGTGTTCATAGAAAGCAGAAGCAATATGCATACATACTACATTTTTGCTTTATTTCTTATTCTCCAAGGATTTTTCCCTTACCCCCTTTTAAAAACAAATTTTCTGTCAAGTCAGGTAAGTGAATAATCAGAGGCAAAGGTCACAGTTGTAACCTTTATTCCTCATTGGAGGAGTCTGGTGAGACCATGCCAACATTACTAACAGTGAACTATTACAAAATTTCCTGGTTTATCTTTTATAATCCACATGGGTAAAAGGAGGAGAACATTTTCCTAAAGGGAGGTAAGAGGTAAACAATACTGGTTATGTTCAGTGTTATCCTTACCACACTTTTTTTCCTTCTTAGGAAGAATGGACTGACGACGACCTGGTAGAATCTCTCTAACCATTTGAAGTTGATTTCTCAATGCTAACTAATCAAGAGAAGTAGGAAGCATATCAAGCGTTTAACTTTATTTAAAAAGTGTAATGTGAAAACAAAATATATTAAAACTTTTCTATTACTTTCTTTCCCTTTCACAGTAACTTTATGTAAAATAAACCATCTTCAAAAGAGCTAGAATAGCACCTGTTTTGAATATTCTTATTCCATCATGACTAATATCAAATTAAAGCTGCAACTTACTTGCCTAATTTTTTAAGCAAAATATGATAGGCAAACCTACGCTTTTTTAAGAAAAAGGCACCACAAAAACCAAAACTTAGTAGCTAGCTTTAAAAGTGTTAAGGAATGTGTTTTGCCCTCTAGAAACCTTTATAAATGGCTTTTTGAATGCCATCCTGATACATTTAGGTATTTGTCCATTACTATTAAATGGCAGAAGGTATTTCAACTATTACATGGTACTGAAAGCCAGTTGTCTGGGTAATGAATATTATTTGTTTACTTACCCAAAAACATTTCCAAATGGTTTTTAAAAAAAAAAAAAACAAATATATGATTTTGAATAGCTGTCTACATCAAACTCTTAGGCTAGTATAGATAAGTAGGCAGAAGCCATTTGTATATTCGGTTATGGTTTTTTAATTTTGTTGCGATGTAGGGTCTTGCTGTGTTGCCCAGGCTGTCTCAAACTCCTAGGCGCTAGTGATCCTCTGCCTCAGTTTCCTGAGTAATTGGGACTACAGGCACACGTCACCACAGCCTTTAATTAACCTATTAGATCACCTATAAGTGAATCCGTGTAAGTAGATTATAACAGTTACTAGGAATTGTGCAGACTAAATATGTTCGAAAAATGTAATTCAAATTGAAATGAGTCAATTTAAAAATATAAAAGCACAGACTATTATAACAAATTACTTAGATATGAATCATGGCTGCCTCTATTTCACTGTGTGACCTTGGTAAGTTATTAATTTTCTCTAAGTGCCAGTTTCCCACACTGAAAATGGGGGAAATAATGCCCACTCTTTATAGGATTAATTAGAACAGCACCTGCATACACTAAGTATTCAGTAATTGTTAACTATTATAATTGGAACCGAACTATGGCTGGCTGTATATCAAGCCAGAATTTTTTTCAGGAAAACTGGCTTGAAGGAATTCCGAGTAATTCAAGTGTCCTAAATCTAATTAAATTGCACAGATACACACACCTCCTCAGTCTCAGTACATCCCAGGCTGTACTTTCCAGAAAGGTAAGTACCATTATAATTACATTTACTTTAAGGCAATGCTTACTATGTGCATATTCATCTCTCTAACAATTCTTTAAACTGTAGGCTTGAGTTTTGTGGGGTGTTTTTTTGTTTGTTTTGTTTTGTTTTTTCCCTCATTCTGGAGTGAAAGGAATAAAATTTCATGACGTGAGATTTTACAAAAGCAGAGTGGAAGAAGCCAAAAGTTATAAATCCTCCATCATGGTCCTAGTTAAGTACATTGCTTCTAGGCTCTAGACAGAATTACAAGATGTTCACAGTTTTTCTCATTTTCCCTTTCAGATCGCCAAACTTTGGCATCAGAGCAAGGTCCACACTTATCACTGAAAATTTTCCCACCCAGCCCCATTAAAAAAGTTAAAGTGTGAGAGATTTTATTTCAACACTGACAAGCTAGTTACTACAGGGCCTACAAAGGTAAGTAATAAGTTTCCATTTCAACTTGAGAGACAAATTATGTTAAAATATAAGAAGCAGGATGAGTCAGGTTTGTGATTTTAAATAAAAGGGAGAAGGATTTCAGACCGAGGAATGACAGGTTAGTATGGCTAAAGATTGAGGCGTGATTAGTGGGAACCAAAGTGCGTAGCAAAATATCTTGACTAGTCCATATCCTCCCTGTCTTCCATCATGTAACTAAGGAAGGAGACCACCGGGGTTGGTCCAAGTCCAGCTATAAAACAGAAGGGATGGAAAGGAGAGTAATTTGATAAAAGAGCCAGGAAGGGAGAGAATGGAATGAATTGAGTTGATTTCAAGGAAAAGGAGCACGGGACATGTTGAGATTTTTGGTATCAGTGTTAAACTGTGATTGAAGCCACAGAGGTTAGCAGCCCCCATAGAAATAATTGCCTTTTGTAGCTTGAAACTGTTAAGCAGACATCTTTTAAACCTTTAGCATTTTTTTTTTTCTGTATTTTATACATTAGAGGAATAGCATAAAGTGTTGCTCTTGGAATCTAGACCTTTCCTTACTGTAAGAACACCTCCTTGGGTTCCTGTCTCACCCACTTTTATTACCAATGTCATTCTGCCACATATGTTCCATATGTCATACCTGCCCTAGACAATTATGAGATGGAAGGAATTGTTGCATATATAGAATCCTTTTCAAAAGAGGCCATTAGCAAAAATACTGATCTAAAGCTTCAGCTTCTCCCTGGGCCTTGCTCTGGTGCTAAGGTTTAAACTGCCCCTGAAGGAGGAAGAAAATAAACAAATTAAATGCTTAGCTCTATTTAGACAGAAGTAATCAATTATGCAAGATATCCCTTGGTTTTATTTTAACTTAACCTTTGTGAATACTTCACAAAAATATGCATACAGAAGTAAATAAAACTATACAGTTGAACTAAACGTCCAGCAGATACAACAAGTAGTCAGAAGTTCAAAGATGGATAAGTTAGGCAGCTGATGAGGTTTGTCTGCATAATCAAAGGGGTAGGGTAGCACAAATAATGAACAAATAACTTTTAACAAAAACATTCTAGTTAACATAAAAGAAACTGGTAGTCTATAAAATGAAAGGGTAACATGCATTGATCAATACAACAACCAATAATATTTACTGAATTCAAACTATTTACTGTTGTAAACATTTAACAAAGCATTATGAGATCTAAATACAGTCTTTGACAATTTCAACAAAATAAGTAGTATGTTTAAAAAATAAAGCTGATGAGCAATAGATCATTCTATATATTTTCTTTCAACAGTTCCAGCAAGAGAAAGAGCACAGTATTTTTTAAAAGTATACAGCAAAGATTGTTCCTATTATAATGACAAACTCTGGAAACTGTAAATACAAATAATCATTGAACAGTCAAATGGTCATATTCCTAATCAGGAAGTAGTTACAGTAAGAACAGTCTGCAATCCAGTTATACACAATTGTCAATAAGAGAATGTGTCAGTTGATTTCATAGTTCTTTCTCTAAGAGACAGCAAAACTTTGGCAACTGGGTGTACTGAAAATATATTTCCAAGTTCAAGATACAGTCATAGCATTTTGTTTTGTGAAAGGTGATCTGTACACCAAGGCTCAGAGGTTGTTAAAGATTGATTCCATGTGGAAATAGTGCAAATATCCTGCACAGATAGCTTACAAGGTTGCTGGCATAGTTATGCACTAGCAGAATCTTGGATTTTGTTTGCATAGCTCACACATCATTGGAATGTGGAAAAGTGTGCTATTTTTTGGCAAGAGCAAAGGAGACATTATACTGAAGTGAATTACCATGTTGGGCATGATGAATCCATGCAGAACACTGGGGCGAAGGCTGCTACCTGACATCATTGGTTTTTGTATACTGGTTTTGTTTTTGTTGAAGCAGTTCTGTTATAGCCAGAAGCTTTTTCAGTACGTGCTAGACAGAGGAAAAATGGTATGAAAATAAATGAAAGCTCGGTCAGGAATTTCAGGATGGGAACCTGGATTTAAAAAAAGCCGTATCAAAGCAAAGGGATGCATAAAATATTAGCACAATTCCACTCAAAACGTAAGTTTCTATTATTCAGTCATTGGCTGAGTATTTCTGGTCATAACTAAGAGAATTTTTATATATAGTGAACAGAAATTTGTGTTTGGCATGCTCCGGTTTTTTAGGCCAGAACTATCACTATCACATTTTGCCAGAAGCAGTTTACCTCTCTTTAAAGGTCTTTTAATTTAATATCTAAGGCAAGTCATATTATTAGTTTTGAAAGCTGGGGGGTGGAGGGCTGGGAGGAACAGGACTTGAGGATTCTAGAATCTCAGATTGTAGAGAACTCAGTCAGCAAATTCAATGCTTTAATCCCTTCTACAAAATCCCTGCCAAATGGTTAGCCAGTGGTGACAGCATTCACTATCTCCTGAAACTACATTAGAAACTAGTCAAAACTGTCCCTGTGGTCACTTCTTCTCAGTGGCCCTTATGTCAGCTGAGGACATTGAAAATGTAACCCATTTTGTTCTGTATCTCCAGTATCTTAATTGACCTGGTGTTAAGTCTCTTTGAATACATTCTAATCTGTATCTGTTTGGTGCAGATGGCAGATAGAAGTCTATCAATGTAGTCTACTGTTTCTCAAAAGTGTAGGCCATGGTTCACTTGCATCAGAATCCCTATAAATTCCTGTAAGAGTTTGCTAGATGTGCAGCTTTCAAGGCCACACTTCAGAATCTCTGGATGTGAATTTGACAAACATCCCAAATAATAATCATTTGTTTCACAATTTGAGAATCACTTTGGCCATGCACTGTATCTGTATGTGACAGAGAAGAGACAGAAACTGAAAGAAAAAAAAAATACTGACTTACTAGCCATTTTCACATACGTCACCAAAGTATATTAACAGTTACACTGTTTTCCAGTAGAATTAACATGCAGACTCAAGAGCAAAACCTGGTGTTTTTCAGTATTAAATGTACATCATTTTAGTCTGGGCCCCTTATTTCTGTCTGCTGAGATCTTTTGTTAATATGATGCAGAGTCTCAAAAATTTAATGTAACAAGAAAAAATGTTAACCAGAATTCAGCTATTTATTACCTCTCAAAGTGTTATCCTTGAAACATCATTGTTAATGAAGGCTGGTGAAAGCCTACCTGCTGTGCACCACGCTCATTACTGAGCGTTCGAAGTTCATCTGAATGAGCCACACAAATCTCATGCAGGGCTGCCAAATCACGGGACAGGTCCGTTCTAGAATGTTCTGTAGTGTCCGGAAGTTCAGGTACGTTCTTTAAGGGAATTGTAAAATTGCATTTAGAAATACAAATCTTTTTTTTTTTTTTTTTTAATTTTTTGAGACAGAGTTTCGCTCTTGTTGCCCAGGCTGGAGTGTGATGGCATGATCTCGGCTCACTGCAACCTCCGCCTCCCGGGTTCAAGTGATTCTCCTGCCTCAGCCTCCCAAGTAGCTAGGATTACAGGTGCCTGCCACCATGCCCGGCTAATTTTTTGTTAGAAATACAAATCTTTATAGTCTCATGTGAAAATATTCTAATTGGGTATATTAGATAATTTTTTTTAATTATCAAATTTCTTAAAATTCTGAAGATTCTTATTGAAATATAAAATTCAGCATTAATGATGGTAAAATATAGACTCTGTAACCTTTGTATTCACATGAAAGCCAGATTCTATTTTTTTCCATAGCATGACAGATGTGGTACAATATTATTGCTATTCTAAAAATAAGGGTCGGGGGATGTGGCTTCCTAACAATTAGCTTTATATCTGAAATATAGAACATATGCCAAATAGTGTAGGTTAACTGCTAATCTGGATTAAATGCAGCCTATACTTAAAATTCCTAGATGAAATTTCATTATTAAGCTCCTATAGTTTGTCTAAGTTGATATGCATATAAGTAGGAACTGCACTATGAAAATGCAGTGAGAACATGTCAAGTTAGACATTATCTGTGGACTGTGTTCAGAATACGTGCTAATGTGTGGGAATAATCAGTGTTAATTATGGTACTTTCAGATAAGGTTCATAAAGTAACTTAGACACTATAGTTATAGTATAGGTTGAATATCACCCAAAATGCTTGGGACTAGAAGTGTTTCGGATTTTGGAATATAGGCAGTATACTTGCCAGTTGAGCATTCCAAATAGCATTTCCTGTTGATGCCCAACAAGTTTTGGATTTTTTAGCATTTCAGATTAGGGATACTCCACCTGTACTTTATTTAAATGGCAGTGGTATTTTAAGCCTTGGAATAACATTTAACAAAGGCTTGGATTACCAGTAAAATGGTGACAGTATTTGCTTTACACTGCTAAAAACTGCAAAACAATGTTTTCTATGGGATAGAGAAACACGGTTATACAGGATATATTCATTCAGTGATTAAAGGATTATAGCGATGAAAGACACTATATTTGCCTTCAGAGAACTGACTCTAGTAGAAAGGACTTTAGAAAAAGTAATCAATCATAGCAACACAGAGTTTATATATCACAGATATGCAGGGGATGCTTAGGAGGTAAAACAAAAGTTACTTTATTCACGTTTGGGGCTCAGCAAAAGCTTCCTCAAGGAGATAATAATTGAAGTGGGTCTTCAAAAATAAATTTGGCTTATACAGATGGTATACAGATGGTAAAGAAATATAATAGTATTATATTTGGATTCTAAGCAGTATGAAATCCTAGATTGTGGGGCATAATTTCTCACACAGTTCCTTAAACATTATAGTAAAAATGTTTTCCAATGATCAACTATATCCCAGTTCACATACAGAAGCATGATGGACTTTTAGCTTGTCAATTTCACTATATAGAGCTATGCCATAATTTTTCATACACTAAACTAGTGACTCATAGGCATTCCTGATTTGTTTGCCACAAATTGTGGTGGTCTTTTTAACTGAATCTGAATATATTAAGACAGAACATGGACACCTCAATCTCCAATCCTAGCACTC